CAGAAGAAATATATGTATATGTAGTCAGATTAAGAACTGCTTAATACTCCAGAAAGAAAGCAAAGAATAATGTTGGTATGGGAAATAAGCTCTTGGTATGTATATTTATTTAACATCATATTTGCTTATGTTTATGCCTTATTCTCATGAAATAATATTTCTATTAGGATTAAAGAGTTGGATTTCCTGCATGAACAAGCATGAAAATTCGACTTTCTGTTCGGTGATTAAAGAGCACTTTTGATGAAATCCTGACGTGAAAGTTTATTATTAAAGAAAATGTCAATTAGTGATTTTCGAAATTTTTATATTGACTTAATTCTCATATTTTAAACATTATTCGAGTCTTTATGAGCAGCGACAAAATTGCTTCACGAGAAACTTAAGTTCTTGAAAACGTGTCATTTTCCAACTTAATATTGTCCCAGTTATTCAGTCATACCAATCTCTTTAAAATGTATAATTTACATTTTTGTGATGAAGAAAAAAATTACTAAAAATAAAGTTGTAGAAAAATATTTTCTTCTTGCATCATTAAATACAAAATATTTCTTAACGCTGCAATGAGCATCAACATCATCATGCTTTAGCTAATAGTGAGAAAATAAATAAACAATAGATGAGAATATAAAATAAAATGAATAAAAATTTGTCCAATTGACTTCACTTAAGATTGATTTATTTTTCCTACAAATGCTGTACTTAATTGTCGAGTTTGTAATGTTTATAAATAATCTATGAGCACGACATCAATGTGATCATAAAGTATTATGACGAGAATACCATTGAAAATGCATTAATCATGATGAATTTATTTTAATATGGGATTATCTCAATGTTGAATAAATCCACACTTCCAAAATGTTAGGTGATTCATTGGAAATTTGAGTAGCATATTTTACAAGCATCATCACAGCTTTATCGTTATGCATTAGCAAATAACTCATGTTATGTTTGTTTGAGATATGCCAGAATGTGTTTTTTTATGAACTTGAAACAAAGAAATTTTTATGAAAAGAACATAAATAAGGCAAAGTAGAAGAAGAAGACATTTGAGATAATTCTTTGAAAATGCAAGTTAATGACTGTGCACACATGTTTCGTGTTTTTAAAAACTTGTCGCTACAAGATTTTTTTATCATATTTAAGATTATGAGAAATGAGATTAAAGACATTTCGTGGAAAATTGAATGAAACGGTTAAATTGTATTGTCAACAAACATCTTTAAAGCATAGACTGCACATGTGCAATGATAACTTTAATTCCATGATATTAAAGAAGATTTTAGAAAGGAAATGCTTTTATATGAGAATCAAGTGTAATATAATAAAAATGAGAACTTCTCAAAAGTCTCATTTTGCTTCATTAAGTAATGCGTTTCATCTGCTGCTGTTCACATGAAGAAATCTCAGTGGGAGTCATGTAAAAAAGTAAAAACAAAATGTTATAATTTCTTAAAATGTCTCACATCCTGCGGCAAGCAGTATGAAGAATAGTCAGACAGAAAAAAGGTCCATGAGATATGTAAAATTATCTCATCATTTAAGGCTTCATTACATCCATGTCGAGGAATTATTTTGGCAAAAATAAAAAATTGCTATTGGGCGTGAAGCAACTCATCTTTTGATAGATGTAACAATAGACAATTCTTATCTTGATTGAATTTCAATTTATTGAATATTTAGCATCTAATAAGCTATGTTTTCGTGCATTCTTATTCTACTAATCTTGTCATATCACTAATCATATCTCAGTATAAAATTTGATTTAAAACCGACGAGGTTAATATCCAAAAAACTATATTTTTGTTCCGACATATTTCATGCATTCAAATAAAGGATTACTATTATTCTACTACATCAGCACATAGTGAAATCTACTTCGAAAAATTACAAATCATTCTGACTTGACATGTGTTATTTCCTTTTATTCGTAAATTACAGAGTCTTAACAATGTTGATCTGTTTAATATTGAGAAATAATGAAAATACAAGCACAACGGCAAATTTAGTCATGCTTAGAGGTAAGATGTAAGAGATAAAGAAGAAGAAGAAGAAATAATTTCAAGTTTTGATTTCATTCCCTTCGCTTTTAAAATTAAAAAATTTAAATTACTAAACAAGATATTAGATGAAAAATTAAATAATCGAAATAATTTCCATTTCGTGCTGCTGACTGGTTGCTCTGTCTCTAAGTCATCATGATTTGTAACGGACTTTTTCATTATTCTTTCTTCAACTATTTCTTCTTTCTTCACATTATAGCTGTTGCTACACCTTTTATTTATTATTGTTATTCGAGACTTGTAAATTGTTGGTTTTTTCACTTCCACATCATATCCACATACATATGTGTGGACGAGACTTTGATTCTTCTCTTAAACCGTCTTTTGAGAAGAATAAGAGTCGTAGCCTAAACAAACCGACATTTCAGAAAACCAATCCTTAATGTGTACTCATTTCTCAAACGATCATTAAAAAGCAAATGGAGAAAAGAAGAACTGATTTTAAAATGTTATGCTGATATTTTGAGGCTCATTTAAGCTTATTATGAGTAGCCATTCAACAGACGATAAATATGAGATATTAAGGCATGCAAAATCCAATTCTATGGAAAATGATTACTCACAAAACTGCAACAAACCATTTTTATAAGAAGGTCCAAGAAAAAATATGAGTAAGTAACAACAAAAAAAAACTTGTTTTCTGTGTCTTTTTCATTTCTTTTGTAAATCGTGCCAACTGCAGAAAATATGTGATTCATCAACTAGAATCGATGTGAAGTTACAAAATAGACGGGGAGCGAAAAAAAAATGTAAAAGAAGTGAGAAGAAAACAAGTTAAAGGCCACATTTTGTGTGTGTGTATGCACTTTCATGCTATGTTGCAAGATTTTTTTTATTTATAATTTTTCTGACATGCACTCTACCAAGAAGAAGAATATGATGAGTAAAAAGCAAGGGATTCATCTCTATCTTGTTCTATAATCAATTTAATTTGATGTCATTAAATTGAGGGAAGAAATAAAAGGTGAGAAAGAGAATAATAACGCTTAACCGGTGCGATAGGTTAACAATAGAACTACATAGAAAATCCTGACCTGAGCTCATAAAATTATCTATTGAATCTCTTGCTCACAAATCACTAGAATAAAAAAAAACTCTTTGAATTTGATGTACAATAGAAGACCAAAATTAAAAAAGATATAAAAAAGAACGGTAGAGAATATACAGAAGGATGTTTATATATTGAAAAGAAGCAAGAAACGATATAAGGAAGAGATACGACGAAATAAGATAAATCTGGCAACATTGCATCCTGCATGTATCCTTTTTCATCTGATTCTTTATTTCTTCTTTTCTTTGTTATATTGTGGGTGGAAGTGAGAGAGAGATGAGAAGCGAGAGGAAAAAAAATTCGCCATTCTGCAGCATAAAAAAAATATATTTTGCTCTCTTTTTGGATAGGTTATTTTAAAATGTATAATGAAATTATATTATTTAGTCCTCAATTGTTGATATTTGCTTTTGTTCTATTTATAAATCTATGAAAATATTCTTGTATTGTTCCCTATTCTAGTCCATTTTGGAAATAATTAAACTCGATATGAGAAAGGATATTGCATAAATTTTTTGCTTTTTCAAAACACCCTTATGATTTAAGCAGTTGTTTTGTCAAAATATTAACAAAAGACTCACCTACACACTATTAATTCCTTTCAGGATTTAATTATTCCAGCATATTTGAATTAATTTTTTTTTTCTTTAGATATCCATTTGGTTATTGAAAAAAAAATCTTTCTTTACATTGAATTTAGATTTACAAACTTCACAAATACTGAGATTTTAGTAATGCCTTTCAATATTTTTTATTAAAACTTTTCCACTTTTTATTTTTTAAATTTTTCTTCTTATTCCAATTTTTTTCTTTTCAAATAATCAATTTAAACAAGACAATATTTTTCTTTAAGAAAATGATGTCTTAGATCTATAAAATATCTTTTTCGATGAAAAAAACTTTATTCTATATATGTTTCTACTTCCACAACATTAATTTATTCTTTTTCTTGTTATTTGATTTAACTTTTTTTTTCTCTTTAAAAAATCCAACAGCAGAGAATTATGAAATGTTTATCGATTAACGGTTGAAAAACAACTAAAAGACCTTTAACAAATAACTTAACGATAAATGAATTTTATCGCATGACTATCTCATCGAATTAACAGAAAACAGAAGTTTCGTTAAGTTTTTTCAACAACATGATATCTTTGTATTTGTAAACTTAAATTGTTTGTTTCGTACTTGTCTGACAGGCATTTGAATCGTAATAATTGTAGTTTTACTTTTATTGTTATTGACTGAAACTTTCATCAATTTCACAATTAAATTAAAGAAACTTTCTTGGTAATAGATCTCATGATTCCAAATATATCTTTAACCTTATTAAGCACCAGTTTTACCAGAGTGTTTCGTAATCAATTTATTCGCCATGCAGTTAAGTGCCTTGCTGGTCGAATAGGTAAGGCGCTTAGCTCAAATTTGGTAATGGTAACTCGAAGGTCGTCGGTTCGAATCCAGCCATTTCCAAATTTGTTCTTTTTCGGAAGTGTAGATACTTCGACTGCTTAATGTACGAGATCAAGCCATAATTGGGCATTTGGGCAACGTTGGATTAAGGAACGGGTCAGGAACTTAGATTGTAACGGGAGAAATAGGAATGAGAGCTACAAGATTACCCACAAATGGAATATTGTTAGAACGGACCTGAAAGTATCACATCACGCCCACAGAAGATAGAAACAAGAGCCTTAGTTTATTTGAAACCTAGATTTGAGGATTAGAAGTTTGATCGTACATAATATTAATTTACAAGTATACAAATACAAAAGTGTAAAATGTGAATTATTACCTTATTAAAGTGCAATTAAAATGAAAAAAAAATTGAAAAGCGCTCCTTAGTTCCACAAAACAAAATTCTTTGACTTATTATTTTAGACATTCTTGGAGAGCAGTGAAAATTTTACAAAGAAATTTAATTGTTGCATTCTCGCTGAACTAAACATTATTTTACAATGATTAAACTTTAATCAGATCTTTTAGTCTATTTATTGGCGAAAGATAAATCAAAACACGGTTCCGTTTTTCAAAAATCGGCAACAATTTCAAGCCTAATTTAGAGAACAAAAAAAAACTTTTTTTGAAATGTCGCGAATGAGTCATTCTACCTCTTTAAAGAGCCATAAGATCTTTTTGTCAAGTGATAAATCGAGTACATCGACTATAGTTTCTACAACAAGTAGTGAATTTAATTTTGGTGCCAATATTAATCAGTGGAAAAAATATCCCGAAGTCGATGAATTTGTACGTTTGTTTGACCTTGAATCGAACCAAAACAAAAATATGTAAATCTTATCTCAAAAACCTTTATTTTTAGGTGGGTGCAAGACGTAGCAAACACACTTGTGTTGCTTTCAAAGATGCAATCGTGAGTAACTTGTCTTTTTAATCTGGACCATAAAATTAATAGTTTATGGCTTCTCCTTAGTACATATTTGGAGGAGACAATGGAAAAAATATGCTGCAAGATCTTATTCGATTTGACGTTAAAGACAAATCGTGGGGTAGAGCATTTTCTACTGGATCACCGCCAGCTCCTCGTTATCATCATTCAGCATGTGTTTATGAAAAATCAATGTTTATTTTTGGGGGATATACAGGTGATACTTCAAATTATTGAATTGAATTGAAGGATTATAATTAAAAATATTTATGCAGGAGACATCTTTTCGAACTCAAATTTAACAAACAAAAATGATTTGTTTGAATATAAATTCCAAAATGGTCAGTGGCTTGAAAGAAAATATTTAGGAACAAAGTTTCCAGCAGCTAGAAGTGCTCATGGCAGTGCTGTTTACAATGGTTACTTATGGATTTATGCTGGATATGATGGAAATGTAAGACTTAATGACATGTGGCGTATTCCTTTAAATGGAAATGCTATGGAATGGGAAGAAATTAAACAATCTGGAGATGTTCCACCAACATGCTGTAATTTTCCAGTTGCTGTCGCCAGAGGATGTATGTATGTCTTTTCTGGACAGTCTGGTCTTCAAATTACAAATACACTTTTTGAGTTCAACTTTGAGGAACGAACTTGGAGGAAAATTTCATCTCATGAATTAATGAGAGGAATTACTCCAAACAGAAGATATGGACATACAATGGTTCATCATGATCGTTTTCTCTATGTTTTTGGAGGTGCTGCTGATACAGCATTACCGAATGATCTCTTCTCATTTGATTTAGACTCACAAGTCTGGAATCTTGTACTTCCTGCTCCTGATTCTCATTGCCCATCTGGACGCCTATTTCATGCTGCAGCTGTTATTAACGACTTTATGTGGATATTTGGTGGAACAATTGAAAGTGGAGGAATGAATATACGAAGTGGCGATATTTATAGCTTCCAATTTTCTTCTTACCCAAAATGTACTTTATCAGGTAAGCTAAGACATTAGACATGCTTGTGTATTTTTAATTGATCTATTGTAAATTTCAACAGATGACTTCGGGAAATTCCTACACAACAAGCAGTTTTGTGATATTGTTTTTATTGTTGGGCCAGATGAGGTAAAAATTCCAGCACATATTGCTATGATAACAGCTAGATCTCAGTATTTAAAAGACAAAATTATATCAGCTAAAGAATCTAGAAATGTGCATTTTGAAAAATTATTTGGAACAACAGACGTACCGTTTTCAGCAGAACTTCCACAGTTAGAGGTAAAACTTCCAACTGTCCAACCAGATGCTTTCGAAATGGTCCTTTCTTATATCTACACAGATATTATTGACTTTAAGGATCCATTCAACAAGAAAATAATTGTTCTTATGATGCAAGTCTATTTACTTTCTCATCAATTTGATATTCCACGCTTAGAGCAGCTCTGTGTCCAATACCTCGAATTTAAAATTGCCAAAACTAATGTATTAGAAGCTTTACATCATTCCGATAAGATGAGTCTTCAATTAATCAAAGACTATTGCTTAAGTTTTATTATTAAGGATGATAACTACTTTGATGTGGTAATGAGCAACGAATTTTCCATGCTTGAGAAAAGCTTGATTGTTGAGACAGTAAGACGAAAGTTGGTTCCAAATAAATTGGGATCTGATATGAAATACGATAAATCTATTGGAACAACATTAGAAAATGACATGGCTGTATTTTTAAAATCGACTGGCAAAGAGTTTTGTGACATTACCCTCGTACTTGATACTCATCAGATTCCTGCTCATAAATCTATACTTGCTGCACGATGTGCTTACTTTCAAGCGATGTTTCGATCCTTTAATCCAGCTGATAACATCGTTAATATACAAATAGGAGATGTTAAACCTAGTTTGGAAGCTTTTAATTCTCTACTAAGATATATTTATTACGGGGAAACAAAAATGCCAACAGAAGACAGCTTGTATTTATTTCAGGCACCATGTTTTTATGGATTCACCAACAATCGACTTCAAGCCTTTTGCAAACATAATCTTGAGAACAACATCAATTATGAGAATGTTTTGCAAATCTTGGAAGCCTCAGACAAAATGAATGTTCCAGACATAAAAAACTATGCATTGAGAATGGTTGTACATGATTTTGCATTAGTTGCACGATTGCCAAAAATGAGGCAGCTATCTCGGGAGCTTTTACTCGATATCATAAACTCAATGGCTGATGTATTGGGTGAAGTTAAATTAAATCAAGATTTATTATCATCGATAAGTATACATAGTGATATTTGAAGACTCGCTTTTCTTCAGCCAATATTAAGCATTTTATTTGCGTATGTGGATAGTGACCACATTAAAAATTAAACGAAATGTCATCAAATGAAAATTTACTTCTTTCAAAAAAATTAATTAATCTTTTTATTAAAACTATGTGATGAAAAGAACATTTTATCTTATAAATGAAAAATCAAAAAAATTGGAGATTTTACGTGAACACAAAAAAAAAATTATGCACCATATAAAGACAAAATTTACATGCACAACATGATGTTTTAGAAAGAAAACTGTGAACGAATTCAAAAGGCTATAATGAGGTTGAAGAATAAATGTAATTTATGTTATAGATGTGCATAAATAAACTATTTATTTACAATTAAATGTTTGTATTATTTTGTATCCACGGAAGGTATGAACTAACTTTTGTATAAACTTCTGGATTCCCTAGTTCACAACCTTTATCACTACCATAACTTACAATTCCAGCTAAAGTGAGTTCGCTGTTTTCAAATATTCCCAATGGACCACCAGAATCTCCTGAGCAAGATGAGTGACCTCCCTTTGTATCAACACACAATTGCTGTTCAGTTCTAAAGAATGATGATCCATAAGATATTTGACACATTGTTCCATTCATTACAGTTACAAATGTGTATCTGAGAAGATTTGACGTAATTGGATTAATATCAGAGTAAGTGCCAAAACCGGAAACGACACCGGTTTTATTAAGAAAATTTGACATTAAAGATGGAAGTTTGATTCTTTGAAGCAATAATCCGTATGTGATACTTCTTGACAGTTGAATCAATGCTATATCATTTGCTATTGTTGTTGAATTATATGTCGGATGCATAATTACACTACTCGATGGCACTTGATCAAAAAATGTGAACGAATCAATCTGACTGCTGTTAAAACCCGCCAAAATAAACACCTCGATACAATTTTCAAAGCAATGACCTATTTGAAATAAAATCGATTAAAATATTTCAGGAAATCCGCAAAAATTTATTTAGGACTTTCACCTGCACTTAAAATGAACTTTTCACCAATAATCGATCCTATAGTATTTTTAAAAATTAATTGAAACATTTTCTGATAAAACTTTATGTTCAAAACTAACCAGCACACATGCTATACGATGCCACATTTCTTCGTACATATAATAATGTATAGAATGGAAGAAATCTAGATCCTGTTTCCGCAATATATCCGTTTGTAATTCGACCCTTTCTGTTTTTAGTATATCCATTTTCAGTTTGTAAAGGAATTATCGGCTTTTTGGCATTAATCTCTCGATTATTGAAAATCATAATGCAAAAACCGATTCTCAAAATTATAAAAATAATAAAAAACTGTAAATAATTCATCATAGCTTTAAAGATTCACTTGCTATGACTTACTACTTTTAATGAGATTAATTTATAAACAGCAATGCAAGTTGTTCATTGATTTTTATATAAAAAATTCTTTTATCTATCTTATTGTTTATAGGAAACGGAACAAAATAGGGCAATGTCAAAATGCATCTCTTATCTCATGTGTCAACGCAAATTACACAAACGTTGACAGACTTTAAATTTTTTTTTTTGAATCTCTTAGAAAATTATTTACAAAAGCTTAGAGATTCTCAAACTTTAGTAATTTAATGTTTCTCAAACTTTCATCAACATTATACACAACATATTGGGGATGCTTTCCAAAATTGCTACTTATAATATTCAGCTTTAAAATTTCAAATTTGTTGACTAAGTTTGTAAAAAGATTAATTTTACATACAATATATTAAAGATAAAAATATGCAAATATGCCTAGACTTCGGAAATGAAAATAAATCAGTAAGATGTCATTTCATTCACGGATTAGAATATTGATAACAGGATAGAGGCATAATCGAATCTGACTCTGTAAAAAATAATAAGCTAGAAAGGAATTGCAGAACCTCACTCTATGCTACTGATTATCCCAAAGATCAAAACTTATCAGCAGATTAATGATAGTAAGAAAGATTTGAGAATTTTTCAAAATAATTTATACGCCATTAATAATAACCACATATCCATAGATTCTTCAATTGTTTTATAATTATGAATTAAGAAGAAGTAAGACAGCAATTGGTAGGGTAGCAAACAAAGCTTTAAACTTTAAAAATTCAAAGCTCATGTTTTCCTTATTGTGTATATTAAAAGCTTATTAAATTTGTTTTTTTACTCAGTATTGCTGTATACAGCTATGTTTATTATAGTTTACAACAACAAAAATAAAATCTTAGACATTGATAGGAAAATACAGAGAAACACATTATGAAGCTTTTCTCGTTTTTTTTGCTGTTTGTTTCATGCTTCAGCCTGTTGAAATTGTTGTCTCAAGAAACAGCACTTCAGTCTCTATTTTACCAACGTCGAGACCAGTCAAGAAAATAAAAGCGTCTCTCTTTCTAAAAACACATTGTGTGTTTTTTTTTGGATTTGAATATTTAGTGTTGCGCAAATCTCACTCATAAGTTTTTTTTTTGTAAAAAAAAATTGTTGAGAAATTTTTTTTCGTAAAAAAATCATAGTGGATTTAGATGTGAAGCAGAAAGCAACTCAAGAAGAGAAGAAAAAAAGTTTAAAAAAAAATATTTCTTGTTGATAATTTTCAACGAGAATTAAATTGAGTTCAAGGAAATAAAAGGAAAGGAATCGAAAAATAAACTTTGATAAAAAAAATAAATAAAAATAAAAACAAAAGAGCAGTAGTAACAAATCAATTTCTGACTACTTTCCACTCGGGTGAAATTGTTTTTTTTTTTTTATTTTGTTTGTTGATTTAACATTTCAAAAAGAAAGTTGAAGTGCAGTTGCAAATATCAAATAAAAATAAATCACCAATTTGAGAGGATTAAAAATTAAGACGTGAAAATGGTGAGTGTCCATAAAAGGATTGGATTAATAATAGTTAAGATAATGCAACTCCATAATTTTAGTATTCATGTTCAAAACTAATATTTTGTTTATGGTAGACTGGTCATGTAGATTAATCCATATAATAGATAGATTCGATATTACTTCAATGAAAGAAAGTTGCAATAGCATTTTTTTGAAATCGGAAAAATTGACTGTGCCATTCTAATAATCACATGAAAATTTTTAAAAGCTACTGCAGAAAGATGCAAAGTGAAATTTTATATTAAAAAGTATCAAGCGCAGCAAGTACAATAAATTAGAGAGTCGTGTCATTAAAACTTAATTACCGCCTATGTTATTTGAATTTTTGCCTCTCCTTGCTTGATGGTTAGCAAAGGCACTTTGGCGACTTGCTGGAATTTCAATGAATTGAAAAATGACAGGATAGCCTTCAAATTTTTCAGTTTCGTTGTAGTTATGCAAGAATTTAAATCAAACAATGTGATTGTGAATATAATTTTCTATTATTGTAATATTTATGAATGGAGGTATTAAGTCGCTATGATTATAGTTCTTATTCTACATGATGAAGGGAAGAAATACGGATATTTGCATAAGAGACTGTAACTCATTTATAATTCAACATGTGTCTGCCTGAGTCTTCTTCTTCACGTCCATCACACTTGTGGTTTTTAAAAATGTTTAATTTTCAATATAGTTCGTGATGGGCACAGAATGAATAAAATTTTAAAAATATTCAAGTTTTGGTGACATTTTAATCATTCATAATTCATCCAATCATCAGCCATTAATGCATGAAATATTAAAGAAGAAAAGAAAATCGAAATTTAAACTTTTGTTTTTTTTTTTCAAAAAAGCGATAAAAGACGACCTCTTCGGCATATATTATTAAATAATATCTACATATCATGTCACAATGATCATATGAAAACGTGTGCTGTTGAAGTGAAATTACTTAAACAAATCTCAAGCCGTATTCAACGAAGCATGAGAAGAAGTGAATGAAAGGAGGAAAGAGATTAAGAATATAATTTATTTGCGTAAAGAAGGCAAAGCTTCAATCGTAATTGAAAGCAAAATTTATAGGGCAGAATCAATTGTTTGCGAAAATTTTAAATTGTTTTAATGTAGAGGAAAAAATTGCAGCACTTATCCTCGAACATTTTTTTTTTATCTTTTCTTCTCTTCATCTTCTTAATGCAGTGCTTTTTTGGGTCAAAAAATTTCTTGTGAATGATCTTATCGACGACCGAAAAGAAAAAAAAAAAATAACCTCAAGAGTCGATCGGTTTTGCACGTTTTGAATGGATGTAGAACATTCTGGTTAAATAACTTTTAGTTTCATTTCATAATGAAAATATATCAGCGAATTCAATAAAATGAAACTTGCGAAATAATAACTCAAATAATAAAATAAAGGCACACGATGGAGCAGTTAAAGGCAAATTCTAGTCGACCTTCATTGTGAGACTATTAATACTTATATCCGATCAATTTGAAAAATGTGTATTTTTAACACAAAAGCGACCACATTTTTGTTTGATATTTCATGAACCAGATATTCAAATAGTCCGGCAATACCTTGTACAATTCGCACATACATTAGGTATGAAAATTAAGCTTGGAATTTTGTGCACGTAATGGATTTAGTTCGTAAGTTTATAGCTGACAAGCAATCGATCACGATCAAGAGAAAGTCAAAAAAAATTATATTAAGAATAACACTCGTTAGAAATTTTTTACTTCCTATTGTTGACTCATTTGCGTAGTCACGTCAGGTTCTATCATGTTGAGCATTTAAATCTTTTTATTTTTTTGAGCGAATTTTTGTTTTCTACGTTTTATGCTTACAAGCCATGATTTTGAAATATTTTTTTTTCAATAATTTCTTTCCAACTAGTGCAAGCCATTGGCTTTTTGTTTCACATGAATAAGAGGTTTTAAGTTATCAATGTGTGCGGCTAATTGTAACTTTCTCATGTTGAAACTTAAAACTTGTTAGCAGTCAATATGCAATAGACATTTTTTTTTCTCTTTTCAAAACTTAAGTTTAGTTTTTTTTTTGAACAAAAATTGCTCTCACATTTAAGAGTTGAGATGTTAAGCAGACGTTAAGCATAAAGAAAAACCTTATGAAATTTCACTTTTAAGGTAGCGAAAAAGAAATGAAGAAGAGAAACAAAATTAGAATACAATGAGGGAAAAAAGCATATTCTCATCAAAAAACAAACAAACCTTTTTCATGTATGCATCCATAGATTGAGTGCATTAATGACTTACTAAGTTACTAAGCAGACATAGTTAATTGTTAGACACGCTAGCAGGTTGTGAATATTAAATTCATGTTATTCGTAATTTATTGCCATTTCACATGATGAATAATGCATAAGACAACCATTTTTTTCTATGCTAAGTGACAAACAATTACATTTATGTATGCACTCATAAATTCTTCACCAATCCACGTCTATTCGATATTCACAAATTTAAATATACTACAAAATTTTATGATTATCGTACTTTTAAGTTTCACTTTCATTCAATTATTACTTTGTGGCTTGCATCGAGAAACTTCACATGTTTATTTTGCAATAAAAGAAATAATTACTTTCTGCAGGAACTAAATACGGCAACAAAAATAAATATTTTCTAAGCCGATTAAAATTTTTTGAGAGCTTTCCTTGAAACCGAAATTTATCGTTGGTAGGAATTAAATAATTGCGCACGCAACATATTAATGAAGTTTGGAATTGTAAATTGAAATCAATACCAACTTCACCCAACTACCGTTTCTTGCTTTCTGCATTAAAATGTCAATCAAATATTTTCGTAATGTGTAAACGTTAGTTCAATGACTTCCAACATTCTCTTATGGTTGCAGACTATGATTTTAGATAGTCAACTTAATGTTCCAAGAGTGCACAAAATTTCATCAACAGATTATTTTAATTTGCGCGCATGAAAATGACAAAATTAACATGGTTAATATTGCGTGGCATGCAATCATCATCATTAGATTCTTATCACAATAAAACATGCCATTTAAATGTGTACATTATAGAAAGAAATAAGCTTTTTATCATCCACAAAATTACTTCGTTTTATTTCAATTTAAGGACAAAAATCTCTTCGTACACATTATTTAATTTAAAGCATCAATAAATCAAGTTGTTCACACGTTTTTATTGAGGAAAAACTTTATTTATGCATGTGTCGAATGTTTCTTTTAACTTACCTCTTATTTCGGTCTCGCAATTACTTATTGCTCTTTCGATCATACATGTGATCTACATTTTTCTTTTTATGTTTCATTTTACTTTTTTATTATGCAATTTGCGATTCGTGAAAATAAACAGTTAAGAAAGAAAAATGCTTTTATTTCATTCATGGTTTTTTTTTGGTACATATAAATTATTGATGCAGATTGTGACTTTTTGCGGTCAATTTTAAAGTCATAAGATATAAATAAATAAAAAGGTAGCCTACATAAAGTCTGTGTCATTAATTTTCATACACGAAATATTAAAGTCTCAAAAAGATTTCAAAATCAATACAACACTAATACGTTGTGTGATTTGTGGACTAAAAAATAAGCTGTTAATGATTAACAACTCGAAATGTCAAAGATAAATGTGAGCTATTGATAGTCAAAATTCAGTTCGTCATCGATATTTAGCAGTAAAAATGATAATAATTTATTAAAAAGCTACGCTTAATTCAATCGAAAGAATGATATATGAGGAAGTTCCGTTGAAAACAGTTCCACCTGCGACTATCGTAAAAGCAAACTAGTCTACTTAATTTCAATACCAATATGCAATACATATGAAATCTTTCTATATGATCACAAACGAGCGGCTGAGAGACAAACAAGAATTTTCAAGGATTTCTGCCAACAGCCATCCGTTGTTTTCGTCGTCCATTCATTTCTTATTTGTGTTGTGCTTTTTTGTGTTCGAATGGAGAGATAAAAAAATTCGATTGTTTCAGCTCATTTGCATGCTCTCAAAAACGGCCAATCTATTGATTGCTAAGCCTTGATTTCAATCTGTATTTTGATGACTATTACTATTTGGCTAGCTAGTGTGTTAGTGTTAAACTTCTAGAAACGTATGACACTGAACGATATAAAATACAATATATTGGGAATTAGTGGCATTTTTAATTAAACAGCTGAGAATCTAGATGTCAGTTGGTTCCAATAGAAGATATCATTCGATTTTTCCTAACAGTAAATTGAGTGATTGAATCATTTAAGAGTTTTTTGAACTCACTTAAAGCTGCATTAAAAGTCTAAAACTAAATAAAATTGACTTTTTCAATATGGAACTTACTTTTTGAGCAGTTTTTATGGCAGCAACTGACATTATGCAACAACAAGTTTACTTTAGCAAATAAACTAGCGAGTGCCACCAAAGTCTCGAGTTTTTCTCCTCATGCATGACTTTAGTGTGCTAAAAAACTTACAATAGTATATATACATCGACCACCAAATGATCTCAGTGCTTTGACTTTAATGCACTTACGTATGTATTTTTATAGGTTCATTGTAAATATTTAGTCACTTAAAGAAGAAAAAATTATGTAATGTCAAACGAAGTTAAGTAAAAATGAAAGATTATAGCACACTTCTCATCTAAATGTGGCTATTGAGCTCTAAAGTTTATGTGGAGCTTGTTAAAGACAGCAAAGAAATGTCAAGTAAATAAAAAATTAAAGCTCATTTGTCACAACGTAAAATGTTTTGCGTAAAATAATTTTCTGTGTCATAAATATTAGTGTTCATGCAACAGAAATGTGTACTCGATCCAAATGCTTAATAACTCTGCCAAATAATGGAAACAATTGACCATATTTATCTGAGAACAACTTGAATGGATTTTTTCTATCTTAAAAGCAGTAATTTGTATGTCCTTGTGTATATATCCATCAACATCACGCTTTATTTTTAAGACCATTGGGTCTATTGTGAAAAAAATCTATGTGCTGTATAATGTTATGGTGTGTGAGTCATCTGTATATCTTAATTATTGATCATTCACATTCCCTTGTTGTTTTGATGCTTTAACATTTTATTAGCTAGGATCGTAATAAAATAACCTGTTCTGTCCGCAGTTTTTGCTAAGGAACATCACACAAAATTGCCGTTTTCATCAAACTTCAAAAAAAAGCATTTTATAATGCGCAGCATATATTGTGTATGGGATAATTATTTAATATCCCTTTTAAACAGAAGAAATTCAATTCGAATGATAATTGCTTTTCGATAAAAATAATTGTAACTCTTATTTTCATTTTAATTACATTGTGGTCAACATTAACCTTGCTCACGAGTTTATTCGATTGCCAATTTAAATTAAACCATGAGTAAAAGTGAAACCTTTTAAGCATTTTTTGTTTCCAATTAAATTAAAATGTTATTATCACTTTTCTTTTTATTTGAGACACAACGGCAGACGTTCATTGGATGACGATGAAATTTCTCACGGAATGAAAAAAAGCAAGAGAATGACAAAAAGTTTTAAAAGTGCTATGATAACAAATAATGCAAACACTCAAATCAATATTGGATTTGAAAAACAAGTGTGTAAAAGTTTGACATTTAAAAAATGATACTCGATGCTACATAGTGTGCATTTCTTAACATTCACTTAGCATTTGCTAATGAAGTCCATTGATCATGACGTTTATCGACCAATAAGATCTCGTTAAGTAAAGTTTATAGTTCAAAAAAGTCAATGTTTCATGCAAGATATTTAGTCAGACATTTCATATCGTGTAAATTGTCTATGCATGCAAATTAACTCGGTAATTTCATTTGAGATTTATTTCTTGTTGCTCCGTTTAAGTCAAAGCAAACATCTCATTAACACATTTTTTTAATGATTTCTATTGCTGCATCTCTCTCGTTAACACCTTTTCCAATTTCATTTTTAAGTAAGTATAGCTTTAAAAGCTTTATCATTGCTTCATGATTAGTCTATCAAATATTTTCTTTAGAATTTTCAATCTTCCTTGAAATTATATAGTTTCATTGTTTATGACTGTAGTATTATATAATTTAAATGCACAACTTCTTCTTTTTCTTATTATAGCCACCTCAGAGCGTATGCTATGCTACAATATAATAAGCATTGAGGAAATCCATAATAAACCGTTCGTTGCGAATATGTAATTGATGCATTGTTTAAATTCTCTTTATTCTCTAGACAATAACACAGAAATATTTTTATTGCCATTATATTGAGGTTAGAACTACAATTAGGTTAAGTTTTGACTAGTCGGATACTCAAATTACATCTTTCGTTTGCATTTTATTTCAAAACTCGACCGAAATGATTTACCAATCCATTGATATTAAATTTTCCTGTCTGTAAAAGCTTTTTAACACCATAATTAATGTCGTGTTAACGAGGCCCCATCACACCTTCATTGGCATGTGCCTAAGAAAAACATAAACAAATTGATGACTTTTGTTGAAAATGCTAATCTACTTACGTCAACGATTTTTCTCCTCTCCAGATATGTGATTTTGGGAAGACGAGCATAAAGATGAAATCATTAAATCGCTTGTAATATAAGTTTTACATAAGTCCACGCGACTCTCATTTGTCCTAATGTTTTGCATATAACACTTAATTGCTGACAGCTTTTGCGTGTTAAATTTATGTTTTGATGCGTTAAAATTGTTAATCAATTCTCTTGTGTCCTTTCACCAAGCAGCATTATTGTTATAACAATAATATTCTATTTCGCAGAGTCAGTCGGTTTGAATGCAATTAAAAATAGAAATCTGAATTATTTTTTGTCATACCAAGCGCATGTAAATCAAATAGAAACTTGGCAATTTAATACATTTGTAGCCACACGGAGTTCATGCAAGGCAAGGTTAGTGAACATTAGCACTAACAATTGTCTTGCGAAAAATGAACACAATTTGAATGAATAAAAAGTCTCAAACTGAGACTAAAGATAAATTGTGTTGAGGTGAGAAACTTAAACTGAACTAGTTTGAGGAGAGGCAATAAGATTAACAAATGTGTGAAATGAACTGTTTTATAGTTGGAATAGATTAATAATAAATCCCGCTTAAGGTTGCATTGTGTCTTAATTACTATGAAGATGATGTATTATTATGAGAAATAATTAAAATTAAATTATTTAACATCAAATAGCTTTATTGTGAATATCTTCTACGGTTCGCGTTAATGAATGACTATTATACTTAATATGAGAAAATATCATCATTGTCATGTTAATCCTTATAATACGCTCAAGTTCTTTAACCCATTCAATGCAAGTAAAGACATTTCGAAGAAAGAAATTGAACACTTTTCGATTACTAATGAGTGTAGCTTAATGCTAATAATATTGTTACTTTTATGAACAAAACAAGTTCGAGATTTCTTAATAATACCGGATTGTTTTGAGAGCACTGCCTTCTTCTATTAAAAATTCCAGAAGGCTGTAAACACATCAAATCATTTACATACATAATTTATTCGACATAACATTAATTAGATAGCTTTAACGTAGTGTCTGTTTATATTACTTCCAATTTTTCTTCCTTTGTTTTCTTTTTGATTCTGCATGTTACACTCCTTACAAAATTACTTTTAGCTCGCGTGTGACGCGTGTTTATTCATAGGAAAACAATAAAATTGTAAAATTAATACGCGGACATGATATTATCCTATTTGTTACTCCTTTCTTTTTGTAATAATTAAAGATCCATGCTCATTTATAATTTGGAGATGATTTAAAATCTATTATTATTTAATTGATCATTAATGGCCCAATATAGAAATAGACTATTGTCAGCTATAATAATGTCATTAACTTTTAACAAATTTATTGATGTGAAATTCAAGTTTTTGCATATTTTATTAAAGCATCGTTAAATTTAATGACATGCAGTTCCGATGAAGTAAAAGCTCTCTATCCAATTTGCAAAGAAATGCACGATTTACGATAAGTTCAAGTTCAATATGCTAATAAATTTATATCTTAAAGACTCTTTGCTTAATGAAAAGAAGTAGCGAGACGAGGAGGAGAGAAAGATTTCACTTCTGTTGCACTTTAAATTGAAACAATAAAATAAACATTTGAGATTGATGAAAATTTCTTTGGAAACGAAAAGTATTGAAATTTCTACTTTTTCATCTCACTTGATATCATGAAAGTTTTAAGTTTTTCGTCTTCTTCTTCGTCTCATTTCTCATATTATTGCGGTTTAAAACAAAGATAGTTAATCAAGAGATAAATATACGAGAAGCTGCACATTTCGTCTGTATTTATGTGAATTATACTATAATATTATTGCCAACGAGTTGTTAATCATTGTTGTGTCTCTAAAAAGAAGCACAAAATCAGCTGGTCTATGGCAAAAAAAATAATAATCGCGGAATCTCTTTTTTCTGTCTTTTGAAATTTAAATTTTTTATGTCATAAAAACTCTTTTCTGTTGTCTCCTTTTGTATATGAAATATAATCATCGTTTGGTGCTGCGCTTTCATTAGATGATACTGTCTGTGAGAGTGAAAGTGCCATTGATGCTTTTGTCGCATGAGAAAAAAGATATTCAAAATTCACTCAGTCAATTTTTCATCTTTCTTTCTCTTGACTTTATCAAACTGGTGGTGCCATATAAAACATTTAAAAATTTATCAAACATTTCAACGAAACAAATTTGTTTGGAATAGAAATAATAATTGAATAATATGAAATAGGAAGTGATAGAAATGTGAGTGATTTAACAAGCGCTTACAAATTTGTTAATGACTTTATACCTCACATCATGATTATTTTGTTTCTCCTTTCTCACCGTTCACTTCTGAATTTTATTTATTATGGATCGAGGTAATTTAAAATAGATCAATAAATCACAAGGACATAAAGTTTGAGCTTTTATGGATTGATTTTATTAATTTTCAACTACAGCTTCCAAATATTGCAAAAACATATTTTTCATAAACTTAACATTTAATTGTCTAAAATTGACAGATGTCTTAAAAATACTTTTGGCTATATTTCGTCTAAATATCATTTCATTCGCCTTTAGTCATGTAAAAGGTTCATCCGCATTTTTGGCAATAGTGTTAAGATTGTTGTCAACTCTTTTCCGAGATCCGACTATGAAATTATCTACATAATCCTCATCAGTCATATATGCCAATTTTTTGATGGCGGTGCGTGCTCTCTCAGACACAAATTTATCCACATGAGCCCATACTGCGACGAATTTCATCAAATTATTCAGGTCTTTGTTAACTCTTTCGGATTTCTCTAAACTTGATTCGTTTTCTAACCTTTCAAGAAACGATGGCTTTCTGTTCATAACTGGCATATTTGGCATCCTAAAATTATTATTAATTCCACTAAATCGAGGGGCTGGTGTCAAGGAAAAACCATTGAATGTATTTAATGGATTGAATGGACTATAAAATCCATCATCTGCAGCACGGCGTGATTTTAGTTGATTGGGCTTCTCATTGTACATATCTAGTTCATTTTTAAAAAATATATCTTCGTCAGAGTCATCTTTATAGTATTCTTGGTCAATGTCGAGAGGTTTCTTCGAAAAGTTCACTTGACTGCATGACTGCTTATTTTTACAGCTTGTCTTTTGATCTTCATTGTTAACAACAACCTTCACATTGAAGGGAAACTTTTGCTGAAGTTTCTTATGCGTGCTGGTGTAGATTGGCTCATCGGTATGTGCTTCCTGAATCTCAAATGTTAATTTGTCAATCAAACTCTCATCAACATTTTCTTCGCTGTTGTGACTTGAATGATATTGATCCATTAACTTGCTTTCTATTGCATGCATATCTTCAATGCTGTCAGTAGTAGTTAATGTACTGTAAGACGATACATCATTGATGGTGCTGTAAGATGATGATGAAGTTTGGTGATAGCTCTTAGGATTTGTTTCACTGTTTCTGAAGGTTTGAAAGTCAGGAATGAAAGTTGATTGCTCGGTAGTGTCAGGCACCGTTGTAGAAGTTGTTGGCATCATATTAATTTCTACATAATTATTATTAGAATCTGCTATTGCATTATTCGTAATTGTATCTTCTATATCAACGTCAGCCCTCTCTCTCATTCTCCTTTGATATTCTTTTCCTATCATAGGCACTTCAATTTCAATCATTTCAGCTCTTTGCACATCTTCTGTTTTATCATCAGATTTATCTTGTTGCATAAATATGAAATTATTAAACGGTGGAATTGGCGGCAGTAATGTAACTCGTTTAATACCCAATGAAAGTTCATCTTTCTTCAGAGATTCGTGAGGCAATAGCTTGTTAAGAATTGAGGAAGTAGTCTTGGTTGTCGTTGGTAAGAGATTAATTTTAATCTCTGGAACGTCGATCGCCTTTTGCAGTAAATCGGATTTCTTTTGTTGTTCCATTACATCGCTACTTTCATTATAATTGTTACGATTATTGACATCGGCTGATAATGACTTAGCCGTATAAACCTAAAATCATACAAGAAGTTACATGAATATTTCCACTTATGGATTAAACAGCTTTATCTTTGTAATTAAATCTTTAATAAAGGAATAAAAGGTTTTAAATGAAAAAGTAAACTGAACCATTGTAAAAAATGTGATTAAAATGATCAAAATCATTAATGTGTAGTACAAAATGTGGCACACAATTATTCGCTTCTTTATGTATCTCATAGATCTGATTGAATAAATCACTTTCATTTTCTTTAAACTTTTTTTTAAATTTATTTTCAATAGACTTTGAAATTAAAATTGAATTTTATTCATTAGATTTACGCTGTAATTCAACACTAACCGTCAAGTATAAAACTAAAATGCCAAGCCCAAACTTCATTCTTCTTGCGCTTTACTGAGTTTGTGAATATAAACTGACAACGAAAAAATATAACTGAAGCATAAGTATTTAGAATGGATTGAGGAGAACATGCTGATTAGAGCATTTCTTGAATTAAAACAGTCTCTGCTTGCATATTCCGGAATAATAATGTTTTGCCAATTTTTTTTTCTGTTTACCTTGTTGTTTAAATTTACTTAATAATAAGGAAGAGAATTCTTGCTCTACACACATGATGATCGTGCATAAAATTAATGACGTAAGGCCGAGAATGTTAATTTCCATTTTCGTACTTTTTTGTCTTATAAAATACACAAAAAAAAATAAAAATAGTATTGAAAGTGTTGATAGACGCCGTTCATTTATAAATGTCTTAATTCATTTCATACAATTTTTCACTCATTCATAATTGTTTTATGTAACAAACTTGAATTTTACTTTCAAAATGTATTATTTCAATTAATGCCGATCATGAATTAAAGTAAAGTTGCTAAACTTCTGAAACTTGTTCAATCTTGTTCAACGACTATTTACAATTTTATAAAAAAAAAATAAAGCTTTACTGCTGTTTATGTATAATCATTTAAATTAACATCTTCTCACTTGTCATTGCTAATTAAAACAACAAAATCTTGAATTCTTTCCAAACTCTGAAAAATTGCAAAATAATAATAATGAGCATGGCCAAACCATTCATCCAAAAATTAATGGCTTTTGACAAATATTTCTCATGAGTCCATATTTCCGTATTTACTTTATATGGCATTCAATTGTGCTGTTGCTTATGCTCAATATTTGTAATAAAAGACATAGAAATATTCTTAAGATAATTGTTGTAATTTCAGCTGAACACAACGTGACCTACTCTAAATAGAGTTCTTTTGAATAAAATTAAAAATCATGACTTGAAAGAATTACCTAATACTAATGACTACTTATTTGCATATAGCCTGTTGATTGCGAATATTTTGTCACAAGCCTATCTAATCTAAATGTATAATATGAAAAGATTTTACGCAATTATTTTTTGTGTAACATATGAGCTCCAATAAATCATTAATAAATGGTAATGCTACTTATGCGGCTCATCGATTAAATAAGCTAATGTTGCGTGTCATTGCTAAAGGTAATTTGCTTTATTGGCATAATAATAAGAGATTGTTAATTTAAATAAGATCTTGTGTTGGTTTATTTTTATAACTTTATAAATCACTTGAGACAGAAGTGCCGCGCTTAGTATGTATGACAAGAGTAAACAAAAGAAAAATCACAGAAAAATAAAATAAAGAAGGGAAGTCGATTAAAATAATCAAAAGATTATCTAATGTGCCACAAGAATTGAATAGCTTTATGGTGTCTTTAGGGCATTACGCAATTTGAATGCAACTTCCAGCTTATTATTTCATTCTTGTCAAGAGATTTGCACACGCGACAAAATGCAGTCAAGCATCATCTGAGCATGTTTATATAAATTGAGAATATAATTTGAAAGCTGTTATGCACTTACTTACGGAAGTTACATATGAGAAAGAAGAAAGAATTTTGAATTTTTTTGCAAGTGCAACAACAACAATTTATGCATTCATGAAGTAAGCATTACGAAATTCAATTGCAGATGGAAGAAGAAAGCTTTTTATTTAAAAAATGTCAATAGTGCACGAACAAAAAGACCGAAACAGCATGATTCATTCCCACATAATTTACTTTCAACTTTTTTTTAATGCTTCCTTATTTTATATTTTCATACCTTAACTAATATAGTGCGCAAAATTTTTGTTTTTGACGAATAATAACAATAATTTCATTATAATAACCTTCTGGACAGACAATTATCTTTCTCGACTTTCACATAAATCGCTTTCGTCGCACAATTTTTGTTTTTCGGCTTTTTGGTCATCTTATATGTCAGTTGAGTCATAATGACTTAATATTTGCACAATCTTGTTCATGTTGGAAGAAATTTCTTACTTTCGTTGACGCAAATTACCCATGTAATGGCAAGATTTATTTAAACTGGTGTGCTTCATTACGAGATTTACGCAAGGATTTCACTTTGCTTCTATAAATTGTTTTTTTTTTTTGCTTTGGTATTTTAACAGCGTTGAAGGATAGTTTTTTGTCCCAAAGAGTTTGGTATGTTGAACAGCAATGAAGTTTATTAATTTAACTGAAAGCCGTACTTTAAGAAAATGAGTCATATGCGGAAAATGTCGTAGCTTAGCAACGCAAACTAATAATATTTTGGCATTTTAAACTTCTAGTTTTTAATTCATTAATACTTGTTTATTCCCGTTAATCCCAGTCATATGTTGATCGAATGGCAAGTCGATTTTCTCGAACCTTCTCATTTTCACAAAAAAACTAGAATTTAAAATTGTAGTCAGACTTGTGCACTTGATGAATATCCATGAACTAAAACTCTTTCCGTTCAGCAGTCAATACAAGAAATCTTTATTTGAATGTTGTGTATTTATTAATTGAAATAAAAAAATATGATTTGAACATGAATCAATTTTTTTCAAGTTCAACTTCATTATCAAGTAAGTAGCTAGTAGCTATCAATAAATAACATGGAGAGGGTTTCAAATTTATTGCAGACAAAGCATGTTAGTAATATTTTCATGGTCAAGTCTCTTTTCAATTCTATACGAGTCGCAGACGAAGATTCCATTCATAAATCTTTTTTGAATGCATAAATTATGAAGACTCGTGGAATGTGAAGTAATTTACATTAATTACGATCATTGCAAAATCTCTCTTTTAATTTCATTATGGAATACAATAGCTTTGGCAATCACTTGCACTTTCGTTATCATCTTATGGGTCATTAAACTTTTCACAAACCACTTCGCCTGCATCATTTGTAGCGGCAAAAATATCAAAAGGTTAAGTAAAAGAAGCATGCAACAACATGCTTCATTTGGGCTGCTTCTTCATTGTTAAGCATGCATTTTAGAGAAGAAATGAGGAAGCTATTAAATTAATGCCCTTTCAATTCACGCACTTAATCATTTGACTCATAAATAACTGTAAAGCTTTTAAAAACTACATGGCAGGTCATTAATTGATTTTATTGAACACTGTAAGGTTTCCACGAGGGATATTAGAGAATGGAACATGGATGAGAAATTAATATCTACAAAACCATGTCTTTTCCTTTTTTGTTTGATTTTATTATGGACATACATTAACTCTAATTTCCTCATGCAGACCCGACTTCCACCTCACGATACTGATCAACTACGATGCAAGTCATTAAGTGTGTGACAAAATATTGTTGCTTTAAAATAACCATTCATAGTACCGATAATAATCTCATCTTTCTTCGTAAGTCAGTATTTTATTCAATAATAGCAACTGATGGATAAAAGTTTTATTTTATTATCAATAATGTCAGAGAAAATGTCCCAGGCTTTAAGATCCATAAATAAAATTAAATGACTATTAAATTAAAATTCGAAGTAAATTGATGAATGATTTTTGAATACTTATGAAGTCAGTGTGAACTTGATGTTTGCATGTGGCACACATTTTTTAAGGTATTTCAATCGAAAATAAATAATGCTGGCAAGAATAACGAGTTTAGTCATATCCTGGTAATTCATTGATCTAATTTCCGTAAATTATGTACAACATGTTACGCTCTAGCTTTCTTTAATGCTCTGAAAAGCTTTTGATTAATTTTGCGTGTTCTTCTTAATATCGGAAGATTGAAAGTTATTATCATAATTCCATGCAAGCTTAATTTAGAAGAAGCTTAAAATGATCTCGATTTTCTACACTTTCCGTAATGAAGATAATTGAGTTGCAAGAAGTAATCATTTCCTCGTGATTTCATAACTGTGTTCAACAAAGTCATCTCCTTCCTTTAAGCTTGATGTTTACAATCATGATAAAAAAAAACTAAAAATGACAATAAGCATGCAGCATAGCCAGCAAGTAAATTACAGAGAAGAGTATAGCAAATGTGGAATTATAGTAAGTTCCAAAGGTTACAGTGGATAGATGTTTCAGCAATTTCACATCAATCGAGTACAATGTCAATAATAAAGCATATTATGCTATGTTTAATCAATAATTGTTGATAATTTAAAGTGCATTTACAGAAAGTATGGATTATTTGCGATTAATTGCAACCGTGGCATTCATTAAAATCCATGCTTTGTTTTGAATCCAATTGCTATCATTTCCTCGACTCAGATTTCTATAATTATTGGAAATTATATTTATTATTAATTTGCTTCAATAAACGATTATAATTATAGTTCATTGGAATGAAGTATACATAACAGTAAGTTTTGCATTATCATTAAAATTTCTCGATAATTCTGCCTAAATGCTTGTCAAGTTACATAACTTTTTCATCTCTTAATTTCTGTGTCCGTTAAAGATTTCAATGTCGCCGTGTCATTTTTTTTGCATATTCACAAAATGATAAAATATTCAAGAAAATTTAATTTTAGACATGCTTGTCATCTCGCCTTGTGTAAACAATTTCCTTCTTCTTTTTGTATTAAAAATTAATTGTTTTGTGCGGTAATGCAGACAGAAGAAATGAATGAAATGAATTAATAATATAAAATTTGTTCGATGTAAAAGCAGTTGCTTTATGTAATGACATTATGGCACTCACTGTTGTTTATTGTTGCAGCAATTCTATTTTTTCATTTTATGAATTGTCCGAAAAAGTTCATTGATTAATGAAGCAACAAATAAAGTTTATTGACCAATGAAGAATTCAAAACAATTAGCACATTGTGGCGCATCGATGGCGTCTGCCTGTCTGGATTGTTATTAATTCATTAATAAAATTGGATAAACTATTGAAATTTATTATTGAATATTTATTTCATGAGTACTCAATATCAATGATGTACATAGCTGTATGAATCGAAGCGTTTATCCTCTTAAATTGCATGACATTTATGTAGGTTAAATTAAGAACGACAGTAAAAACACGTTTTCCATCATCAACAGCATCATTATGATTATTGCACATTACCTAAAATGAGATGCATTCACGTGAATTGAGGTTGTGAAATGCATTGAATGTTATCATCAATTGAGACATGATAGAATGGAATAAAGATAGATGGAAGAATTGCTAATTTTTCGTGATCGTGCCTTGCTTGCAACACACAAGCATAAATCTTGATATTGTCATTCCATAAAGTAAGACAAAATAATTACTGTTTGAGAATCATTATTTTCTGATGAGAAGGATGAAGCAGCAAAAAATGTTATTGCAAAAACTTTGACATAAATATTAATAAGCATTGAACATCCTTTCTATCGTATTGAAAACTTCATCGTCGGGAGTTGCATTAAAAAGTATTAAAATTTCAGCCATTTATTTTATCACATCTCTTTTTGTTGTTTATTTTCAGCTACCACGACTGATTCGATTAGCGTTTCTAGCCTGTATACTATTGCTCATATTCTCACATTTAACAGACAGTGCTCAAGGTAAGCAAGCAAGCAGTTATTTTAAGTAACTGCTCCGTAAACAAGACACTGAGAAAAATTAAACAAAAAAGTTTTGCATGAAGTCAGCATCCACAATAATAATATGTGTATGTGGTTCATTGAATGCTATTAATTATAATGTAATGCTTCTATTGTAATGAGATTTTGAAAAATTACTTTTATATCATACATTATGCTGCTTATTTATACATAAAACTTGAAAAATTCCCTTTTTCTCTTCACACAAAAATTGCATTACAATTAAGATTTTATTTCTCTTGAGACTTGAAAGCCAATTAACTTTTTATGAGAGCGCGAAAACGGTTTTAAAATGAAATTAATTTTTTTCAATATGCTGCTATAAACAATTCACATGCATTCGAATGGCATTGAGTAACAATCAGACTTTTATGACTCATTGTTATACTTCTGTTCTCTACATAATATTTGTTGATCTATTTTTTTAAAAGTACACATAGACATAGCTAATTTCCATCTGTGCTTCTTATACAATTATAGAAAAGAGGAGAATACGAAGGCCAACTACCTTAGGTAATAAAAATACAGAGAAATCTTCATCATTTAAAAATGTCACTAGATCGACAAGTTCGGCAGTCAAGAAAGAAGCTCAAGATAGAAGTGATTTGGCACCAGCACCATCCACAAATAGATTCAAAGTGAGAGCACGAAAACCATCGTCAGCTCTTGCTGTTTCAGCTTCTTCTGATAATTCAGTATCAACATCAAAGGAAGCTAAAGATAAGGATGGATATAAAGTTGTCTGTTACTATACAAATTGGTCACAATATCGTGTCAAGATCGGTAAATTCGTACCAGAAGACATCCCAGCTGATCTTTGTACCCACATCATTTTTGCATTCGGGTGGTTGAAGAAAGGAAAATTGAGTTCATTTGAAAGCAATGACGAAACTAAAGATGGAAAAGTTGGATTGTATTCAAGAATTGTTGGACTTAAGAAGACTAATCCAAGTCTCAAGGTAAATGTCCAACATAATTAAGTTTTATAGCTATTACATTACATTTTGAAAACTAGGTTCTATTAGCTATTGGAGGATGGTCATTCGGTACACAAAAGTTCAAGGAAATGTCAAAATCAAGATTCGCTCGTCAAACATTCATATTTTCAGCAATTCCATATTTGAGACAGCGTGGATTTGGTAAAGCTTATAAGTTTTCAGTATATCCATAACATGCATAATAAAATACTTATTTAATCCCTATAGATGGTCTTGATTTGGATTGGGAATATCCAGCTGTAAGTTAATTGTGCCTATAAAAATACTTTTACTGTTCATTAATATCCTCATAAAAATTCCATTCAGGGTTCGGATGACAAGAAAAATTTCGTTCTCTTATTGAAAGAATTGAGAGAATCCTTTGAAGCAGAATCACAAGAAGTTCATCAACCTCGTCTCTTATTGACAGCAGCTGTGCCAGTTGGACCAGACAACGTTCGCGGTGGATATGATGTTCCAGCTGTTGCTAGTTATCTTGATTTCATCAATCTTATGGCTTACGATTTTCATGGTAAATGGGAAAAAGAAACTGGACATAATGCACCTCTTTATGCGCCATCAACAGACTCAGAATGGCGTAAACAACTTTCAGTTGATCATGCTGCAGGCTTATGGGTTAAATTAGGTGCACCCAAAGAGAAATTAATCATTGGTATGCCAACATATGGTCGATCATTCACACTAGCAAATACTGATAAGCATGGACCAAATTCACCTGCCACCAGTGGAGGACGTGAAGGAGTTTACACAAAAGAAAGTGGTTTTCTTGCATATTATGAAATCTGTGAGATGCTTAATAATGGCGCTGTTTATGTTTGGGATGAAGAAATGAAAGTTCCTTACATGGTTGATGGAGATCAATGGGTCGGATTTGATGATGAAAGAGCAATAAGAAATAAAATGAGATGGATTAAATCTAGCGGTTATGGTGGTGCTATGGTGTAAGTGAAATTTTATGGATTTACTAGTCAGTGGCTTAATACTATTATTTATTTTTAATAGATGGACCGTTGACATGGATGATTTCTCAGGAACAGTTTGTGGTAATAATGTGAAATATCCATTGATTGGTGCTATGCGTGAAGAACTTAGAGGAGTATCACGTGGAAAGGATGCAAAGGATGTCGATTGGGAGAAGGTCGCTGCTACTTTCGATGATTTACCAGTAAGATATTTTACTAAATTACTAGCTTTAGTTTGATATTCATTTCTGAACTGTCTTACAGGAAAAACCAGAGCCTATTAAGATTGACGTTGCTGAGTTGCTTGCTAAAGTACAGAAACCAGAAAAGAAGACCAAGAAAGTTAAGCCAGGATCAGCTAAAGCAGACACAAGAAGTAAGCAATGCATAAGTTTCATTTAAAGCACACCTTAAATTTGATTCCTTTAAATAATTTAGAACGTCCAGCACAAATCTTCTGTTACTATACAAGTTGGTCAATGAAGAGACCAGGCGCTGGCAAATTTGAGCCTAAAGATGTCGATCCAAGCTTGTGTACTCATTTGGTTTACGCATTCGCAACATTGAAAGACCACAAATTGAGTGAAGCTAACGACAATGACCCTGACATGTACGATCAAGTTTTAGCACTACGTGAAAAGAATCCTGACATGCAAGTTTTATTAGGTTTGTTAATTAATACTTAATGTGTTATTTGATATCTAACGTAATAATTAATTTTAAGCTATCGGAGGTTGGGCATTTGGATCTACACCTTTCAAAGAATTAACATCAAATGTCTATCGTATGAATCAATTCGTCTATGAAGCCATTGAGTTCTTAAGAGAATACACATTCAGTAAGTGAAAATGAAAGCGAATAAACTCAAATATTAAAAGACATAAATTTATAACAGATGGATTAGACATCAATTGGGAATATCCAAGAGGAGTTGAAGATCGTAAAGCATATTTGAATCTTGTCCGGGAATTACGAATTGCCTTTGAAGGAGAAGCTAAATCATCAGGACAACCAAGACTTTTACTTACAGCTGCTGTGCCTGCATCTTTCGAAGCCATTGCAGCTGGTTATGATGTGCCAGAAATTTCAAAATATCTCGATTTTATTAATGTCATGACTTATGATTTCCATGGACAATGGGAGAGACAAGTTGGGCATAATTCACCACTTTTCCCACTCGAATCAGCATCAGGACATCAAAAGAAATTGACTGTTGATTATAGTGCACGCGAATGGATTAAACAAGGAGCACCAAAAGAAAAATTAATAATTGGAATGCCAACTTATGGACGATCATTCACATTGATCAATGATACACAGTTCGATATTGGAGCACCAGCTAGTGGAGGAGGAGCAGCTGGCAAATTCACAAATGAAGCCGGTTTTCTTGCTTACTATGAAGTTTGCTCATTCCTTGCTCAAACAAATACAACATTAGTTTGGGATTCAGAACAACAAGTTCCATTTGCTTATCGTGATGATCAATGGGTTGGATTTGATGACGAACGATCTTTAAAGACTAAGGTAAAGAAAGTTTAAATATATTGTAGAACAAATAGAAATTAATTATCAAACATTTCAGATGGATTGGCTCAAGGAGAATGGATATGGCGGTGTTATGGTTTATGCCATCGATATGGATGATTTTGGTGGAAGATGTGGAGCTGGAAAGTATCCATTGTTGAATACACTTAAAACAGAACTTGATACTTACAAAGTTGAACTAGAATATGATGGTCCCTATGAGTCATACAATCCAAATGGAAAATATACAACCAAAGATCGTAAGTTACAATCAGTTCCAAATTTAAAACACTTTTAACAATTATTTTTGGATCAACAGCAAATGAAGTTACTTGTGGAGAACAAGACGGTCACATAAGTTATCATCCTGATAAACTCGACTGCACACATTATTATATGTGTGAAGGTGAACGTAGACACCACATGCCGTGCCCCGTAAATTTAGTCTTCAATCCAAATGAAAATGTATGTGATTGGCCTGAAAATGTCGAAAGTTGCTCGCAACACACAAAGGCTCCTCCAACTGATTAACTTTAAAAAAGATGAATTATTATTTCTGCACATGATGTCGAAATAAGTTGATCGTAATTTTTTTTTTAATTTTTTGAAAAAAGTGATTAATTCATTCTATTGTCCTAATTACATTAATATTATATAATTTCTTTGTAAATATTCCAAATTCTTCAAAAGAACAAAACTTTCGTCGTCAGTCTCCGCTTTCTTCCTTCCATATAAAAATACGTAAAAATCTAAATTTTAATTTATATCCCTTTTCTGTTTCATCCATTTTGTTTGTCAAAGACTTTTGGAAATCGTTCATTGAATCATAAATTATGCAGAAATTCGCAAATTGAATGTGCGCCTTATATAAATTAATGTGTTTTGCGCATAAAATGCGCGTATTATGTTCGAATATGTAAAATGCGTACTATATCAAAACAATTGAATGTTTTCGTATAATGCGCAGCTTTGTTGTAAATGAACGATTTTTAAAAAGATTTTAGTCTAAATTGATTTACTGCCATCTTATGTAAAAGAGAAAAGAAATGAAAAACTGCCCCTAAAACAATACTCACAAGACAATTGAATGCTTAAAAGTCTGTGGTTAAAGAGAAAAGCAAAACAAATTTGAAATCTACTTATTGTAATTTTAATAATTTATAAGAGAAAAAGAAAAAATCTTTTTATTTTCAAAAAAAAAATCTACAAATGTAACTTTATGATGTTAAGATTTCATGAACATTGTACTGTTAAGAAAATTTATTAAAGGAAATGAGAACAAATAAAGAGAAATTCCATAAAAAATACTTTAAATATTTTTTTTTCTTTACTTCTGATTCATTAAAAAAAAGCTTTCAATGTCACGTGTAAGCTGAATTTTGAATACACTGTCCATAAAGTATACATAAAAAAGGAAAATATGCTGACCATCGCTAAAAATGTACAAGAAATATAAGACGTTACGCGGAAGATAATCATCAGTAAGCAGTTAGTAGTGCAATCAGACAGTATGTCAGTTAAATTATTTTTCGTATTATTAGTCGTGGTTTTCGAACTCAGCAATGTCTTAACAGGACCAGCTGTAAAAAGTAATTATATAGAACAAGAAAATTCTTGTCGAGAAGTCTGTGGACTTTGTGACTGTGATGGATTCTATTGTGAAGATGAATGCATTTGCGAATGTAGCATTAAGGACGAAGATAGTAAGTTTAAACAGGACATGATGACAATGTCAGTGAATAATAAAAAATAATTTCAAAGTAGATTTACAATGTATTGCTGATATGAAGACTGAATGTGATAAGAACGGTTTGGAATATGAATTGCTGATGCAAGAAGCAACAAAAGAGAGATTCTTAAGACAAATCAGACCTAACATGATGCCATTCGAGAAACTTAGTAAGAATTTAGTCATCATTAAGAAAAAGCGTGAAGATTCAACTGTAAAAGCTGCACCAGCTGAAGAACCTCAGGCAACAGAAGATCCACATCTTGCTGCACCACATTTACCAGGACTTAACAATCCAACATTGCCAGAACTTCCACATCTTGACTTATCAAATTTAAATTTTGATAATTTCAACTTGGACAATCTTAATTTAAGAAATTTTGACCTAGGAAATCTCGATTTGGGAAATATTGACTTTGGAAATCTTAATTTAGGTGCACCGATTCAACCATTTCAATTCCCAGAGAATTTTGAACCAGGAAGGTTAATGATGAATTTTAGAGCTACAACCACTCCAAAACCAACAGAACCACCAGCACATACGCTTCCAACATTTCCTCCACTTGCACCAATTTCATTCCGTCCAATCAATTTTCCAAGAATGCATGACTTAATTGTTCAGCCATTACACACAGTATAATATTCACAATTAAATGAATTTTAGAAGAATTTAATACGAAAATATAAGTTTTATAAACATTAAATGCTGTTATTATTATTATTTTAAAATTTCAAGTGACCTTTATGAAAATGTGTTTCCTTGAACATTATTTTTACTATTTGACGAGAAATGTGACTGCTTTAAAAACATTTTGCATAAGAATTTTACTATAAAATGAGTCGAATAAGTTTAGTCTTTAATCAGTTCAGTTCTAGCAATTCACACGATAAAAATGTTCAAGAAGATTTTAGTATTCACAACTTTCTGTCTTTATATACAGCTTTCACTAGCTGAGAATGATATCAAAGTGGATATTCCGAATATTTTATCGCAATCAATTCAGTCAGAAACCAGTTCACCATTAACAATTTTAGAACAAATGTATCGACAAGCAATGACTACAGCCTTCCAACATAAATCAGCTGAAATGCTTGAAAAGCTATCAAAGGGTGAAAACGCATTACCAATTGCAATGGAAATTGTAAAGATATCTATGCTTTCTCAACCTACAACAAATTCTTTGAAGAAAACAGCAAGTCAAGTTCTGTCAATGATGCCTCCAGACTATCAACAAGCTGCCATCTCTGCTGGATTAAATAGCAATCTACTCGCAACTGAAAGTGCAAACGCAACTGAATAGACCAATTTTTATATTCCAAAAACTCAATAAAGATCTCTTGCACGAAATTACAAATTTGTTCTTTTTTTCACTTTTTATCTTCCCTTTTTGCCTTTGCCCTTTTTGCTGCCTGCTTGATGTTGTGGTTGTGTACTTGAAGATGCTTGTGGCTGTTCACCTTTTGGATTGGCTATACGGGTTTTTAATTGAGGAATGGTTGTTGCTACATATTTCAAAATTTGAATTCTCTTTGAGAAATCAGGATTAATTGGAGTTCCATCATCATGTTTAATTTGAAGACGGATTCTTCCACGATGAAGTAATTCTTTGCTTCGTTCTCTTGGATAAATTTTGTTCTCAATTACACAATTCAAGTTTGTAACAGACAAAACATCTTTAATCTCTTGGTAAGATGGATTTTCAATGCACAACGATTTAGGGATTTTGCGTCCTTCCTTTACTGTCTTCTTGGCATCAATATAAGCTGGATAAATGCAAATGAATCTAAAATAAATTTTTTATTTATTATACTTAAAAAATTTTGAACTTTTATTGACTTCTCACCTCTCTCTGTCGCTATGCTTCATAGTTGGACTAAATGGAACAGGTTGATAAGCAGCTTGGGCCATATTTAATGGATTTTACTTGTTTAAAACCGTGAAAACTGATTATTTAAAAATTTCCACGTTGTAAACAATTCGTAGCTTAAAATCTTCAAAGCTTTGACGTAGAAAAACATTCAAAAAAAAATCTGCCGTTTTAATGTAACAAAAAATTTATTTAATTAAGTTAAATTAAGGAATAAAAGCATGTATAAATTAATCATCAAATGTAATTCGACTCTTGTTATTTTTCATGTATCGACGGTAAGATTTGTATCTATTACTTTCTGCCATTTTAGCCTTCATTTCTTCCTCTTGGTCTTTCTTCCATACTTTAAATTTATCTTTTTTCCACAACTCTCTTCTAAGATATTCACTGATTGTTTCTTCTTCTATTGCATTAAATTGATGCTTTCCCATGCCCAAATGTTTTCTGATTAAATAAAGCTTCTCTTCGTCACCGTAAGGTTTACGCAAGATTGTAAAATTATAGATCCAAGTTACATTCCATGCAATATATTTAGCTAAGGTATAGGGTAAAATTATTATCTGTATCCACAGAATGTCAAAAATATTTGGCTTTTCATAAGCTCCTTTAATGTCCATATTCTCCTCAATGACTTGTCTAATTTGCTTCTCTTGCAGTTCTTTTATTTCAGTCTTTGACAACTTACTTCTCTTGCCTTCTTTTAGGATATCTTGTAAGGATTTATCAGATGCAATAATCTCTAATGCCTTATTTCGGTACTTTTTAACAGACACAAAATAATCAACGGCTTCCTTATATCGTGATCTCTTTACAAAATACTGAACAAATGAAATGACTGAAATAGTCGAGAAGATGACAAGACGTATATCAACTTTCGGTCCTTTCCTTCTATAATACCTATAGTAATTCTGATAATATGCCTCAGGATGATCTAAAAATTATAAAGTCTCAATTATGTCATGTTCTTCTTTTTACCATTACTGGATCTTTTACCAAGCATATAATCGTAATCTTTCCTAGCTTCTTCATCCTTTAGAATCTCATAAGCATTAGCTATTTTCTTAAATATCTCCTCATCGCCTGTTTCTCGCATATCTGGATGATATATCCTTGCAAGATGTCGGTAGTTTTTGGATATTTCATTTTTGAGCGAATTTCTTGTAACATTAAGGATGTCGTAACAATTTTCTTCACCACAATAAATACCCGGCAATAAATGTGCGGATGTTAATTCAATAAATATTATTAAACTAAATAAAAACACTTTTAGCCACATATCCAGTCATAAGAATCTATTGGAACCAGAAATGAATTGTTGGATCTTTTTTCCCTGCAAATTTTTAAATTTTTTTTGTACGTTATTTAATTTTTAAAAAAATATCATTAATGGAGTAGGGAGCAGATCGTTTCAATGTGGAATTGGATTATTACTACTCTACTTAAATTTTAGATAAATTAATTAAGTAATGAACAAAAAAAGTACATGTGTGAAAATCGTAACGTGTAACGGTTTCAAAAGTTACGTATTACGCATACGTATAATAGGGGAGTAAGCTGCGCTCGTTTTTTACATAATAAAAACACAAAAGGAAAAATTATTTTTTTGTAAGTTATTTCTTAATTTATCTACATTTCCAAGTATATCTGATGATTAACATGATGTTTATCATTTAGAATTTGAGAAGATTAATAGATTAAAAAGGCCACAGACTTAATCAGCGTCTCTATTTTGGTGTAATTTTAGGAGCCAGTCAAAATGGAATTATTCACGAAGGCTCAATATTATAATAAGCCAGAAGGAGATGACTTCGTGGGTAAAATGGTAGCAACTAATAAATATATGCTTGCCGGCGCAATTCCAGCTGCAACAATGGATGTTCTGATGTATTCACATCCAAAAGGAGCTTTACAAACAATGGCTCGTTATGCTCGATGGATTGGACCAGCTATGGGAATGGCTTCATTGTTTACAGCTAGTGCATATCTTGCATGTCATCTCAGAGGAAAGGACGATAAGTAAGATAAGAGTTTTAAATAATCCAGTAGATGTTTGATGCGATCTTATTTTTAAGGATCAATTACATTATTGGATCTTGCGGAGCTGCAGGAGTTTTTGGAAAGGCTGTCAGAAATCCAACTCTTGGTTTCCAAATGTGTGTTTTCTTCTGTAAGTCTAATTAATCACACTCACAAATAACATGATAATAACAATGGTAATCTATTTCCAGCCATTGCCGCTTGCTTCAAGAAAATTTCAGTTGAGGAAGGATGGACATGGTTCCCATCGACTGAAGAAGTTGAAAGGAAACATGTTTATGGATCATTAAAAACAGCAAAATATGATTGGACTTTAATAAAAGATACACCCGAAAAAGGCTGGACTACACAGCGTTCCTCATAAATTGTAAAATTGAAAGGTATAATAAAATATTAGAACTTTTGTCGTTAAAAAAAAAAAGAAGTAATAAAATCAACAAAAACTAATTTTTAAATTATTAAGGCAATGCGTATGCTTAGAATTAAATTTACAGCTGACCACCAACGACTAAGTTGTGAAGTATAATAAAATACGGTGGCAATTGAAACTATAAGTACACAATGGAGAATCGTGACGATATAAAAGAATTTTACTGCTTCCGAAAGTATTCATACGTTCGGTGATTCGCCTTTAACATGTAAATAAGTTTCCTAATTGAATATCTTATGCTCATAAAAAAATTAATTTATTAACACTTTTGATACTAAAAATAGATTCTCCAAAATGCCAGGTATAAAATAAAAACTTTGTGTCCGTGATAGCACAAATGGTAAGAATGTGTATGGAACATAATGAATATGATGAGAGTTATCGCAACGAAAATGAAGAACTACGGTTCAAGTCTTGATTATTATTATTTTAATAAGCGTTTCGGTTCATTCTGATATTGCATTATGTCCAATACATTTTCTTCCATTATTTTTTACAAGACTTGTGGATGCTGAAGCATGGCACGCAAAAAATGATTTCAAAATATTTAATATAAGTTCTGACGATACTATGGGTTATTTTGCATGTGAATCATTAGATTAAACTTTATCAATAAATTTGTACCAATTAACAAGATTTTACCAAAAAGTTGCTTTTGTCTCCAAACTGAATAATGTAAGAGATATCTATTTATGTTCTTAATTTTTTTAAGTCTCACTTTTAATGCTGGATTTATTTTTAATCCGGTTGACTAATATTCAGATTTATTTTAAATCATGATGAACATGCTTTTAAGTACTATTTGGAATGAACGATTCATGACGACATCAGTTCAATAGAGAGGAAATTGCATAAAAGTTTCAGTTCTTATCAATTTTAAAAATAAGAAATATTTGCTCATAAACATATTGCAAATATTTGCACGATATTTTATCATAGAGACGTGAACACATGTGTGTACAATTCCGAATCATTTATTCTATAAATACAGTCCATAATTTACATATGTATCAATAATCCAATTTTCCTTAAGAAAATCCATAAAAAGAATTTCTTTATCAAAAGCCAACATTTGTTATGCTGCATATTGATCACTTAAATATTGAAATAAATCTAGCTATGAAAATAAATAGACTCATGCTTACTGACTATTTTTTTCCATACAACAACATATGGTTGTTGCTTATACAACCTAATTTACATTTCTTCGTTCTTCTTTTCATCATCATCATTGCGATCTTATGTCTATACTTATGCTCTTTAAAAGAACATTTTCTCCATTTAATTAAGTGTGCGCATCAAAATCAAATTTTTTATGTTGTGTAGCAAGCAGCAGACGTAGTTAGAATAAAAAGTGAAATTTATGATCACTTCCAGATACTCTCGAAAGCATGGCATTGAATTGAATACATGTTAATTAAGATGTACCGTAAATAAAGTATAAAGTCGTGAGTAGATTGTTCAGAAATAGAACTGCAATTTTCCACATTTAAAATAATTAACAAGACATTTTCATGTTCTGAAAAGAAATTACTTCAGGGTTCATTTCTTGTCTTTGTATCCCTTCTGTTTATAAATAATTATTTGTATGAAAAGATCGAGGCTCTTAAAAATCCCATTTTTAGACTGACGTCATTTATGAACATCCCGTAGTTAAAAATTGAAAAATTGCTTCACGTCCATGCACAGACAAAATAAATAAACAATTTTATTCTCCCCAAAAAAAATATCTCATTCTGAATTATTTGTTTGTACATGTCATCCATCCAGCTCTTTCCTCCTTTCTATCTCGATGCGTTTTAACAATATAATGCAAATACTAATAATAAATGCATAAAGTATAAAAATAATAATTTATGATAGAATGGGACAAAAATGAAATATTTGTATATTGTATATAGACTGTATATTTGTGGATTCATAACTTGAGTAATCCTACTGAATGTGACACACATTAGCATATTTCGAACCGCTGCATTTTATGGCAAAAAATATTATCATAATTCTGCCTTATGGACGATCACCCTCGAATTATGAGCATTAAAATATTAAACATCGCATGCATGTATGTTAGAAGTTTTAATGAACGCATTCTGAGTCATGGATTATTATGGCCTGGTCGGAATCGATACTTTATCATTCAGGGAATTGCTGCCAATTTAGCGTCGCTCCCCAATCATATTTAGATCAAGTAAATGATCACGAAGGATACAAGTTCAACAGTTCCTTTAACACTGCTGTTGTAAACTCTATATTAAGACAATCTGACTGAATCTCGTGTTTCTTATTTCCAAAAAACCACAAATTGCCGTGCTAAAAAAATCCAGTGTGATTGAAATGTGAAAAGGAAATGAAGAGGAATGGAATATGAAACAGAATAAAATAAAACAAACAAAAACTAAAGCAGAACGTTAAATAAATATTGAATTTAGGCACATATTGATAGCATGTTAAGGTTGTGCAGACGAGATGCTAAAATGAAATGAAATGAAAACAACAACAAAAATTTAATCGTGAGGCAAGAATTTCCGGTTTACTTCTACTTATTTCCATCTATCTATCCACTTATTATCTTTTGAAATATGAACAAGCACACGACTATAATATATCTATGCTAAAGTACTATTGCCCTCAACTATAATCCCTACAATAATATAATTTATGAACTCAAGTAAGTGGCTCCCATTATTACAGCAACGAAATAGAAAAGTGTCATAAAAAATCTCTTAAGTAGGTCGTTGAAAATTCTAGGAATGTATACACAAAATAATACTATACAATTTTTTTAATTAACCTAATGCAAAAAGACATATGTCACTATCAGCCACGCGTATCCATTACATACTCACCTCACCTGTTGAATGTTTTTGTTATGCTTTCATTTCATTTGAGCGAAGCTATCATCATAAATGATGACAAAAGAATGTAATTAATTAACATTCATGTGACTGATTCCTGTCATATAAATTTTGTGTCGAGGTCTTCGTGATCATCATCATTTTTCAACCCTCAATAATTGAAAAGGTCAAGTAATCTTGTGGGAGTAGCATCGATTTTTTTTTTTTTTGGAAGCTATTGGAACTAGACCAATTAAACCTACGCCATAACTTCCTAAATCTAGATAGCATGGAGTAATTTTGCATAACAAGAGAACTATCTGATTATCATAATAATATATCACATTTCAGCTAGTTGTAATCGTTAATCTTCTAGTAAATGCTCGCGTGCTAGATAATGCTTAAGTTTATGCTTTTTTATTGCAAAAAATTTGTGAAAACGTAAACGTAAATAAAAGTCACACCTTATAATTCACAATAATTTTAACAGACGAGTGACAAAAGCAGCAAGTTTTCCAACAAAATCCGTTATTCACAAAAAAACATCCAGCAGAGAAACTTTTTCATATGTCGCGGTTCTTTCTTCCTAAAAGTGAGATTAATGTTGCCTATTCGATTCATGGCTAATTGTTAATGCAAACTTTACTGTTTCAAAAAAGGTTAATGTTTCTGCATGAGTAATGTACATGTTGTTGCCTTCCACTACCTTTTAGCAATCTATGGATCGTTGAGCTTTCGACTTTATCCGTTAGCTTAATTTGGAAGTTAATCATAAATTTGTTTCTTTTGCAAGAAATGACTGAATATGGCGAATAAAACTTTTATTAAATTTATTTATTTCTTTTCTCAACGACTTTTGTGCTGTTCAATGCTTCAAATCCCCACATTAATTTATTTTCATAATACACGCTCAAATGTATTCAAGATATTTTCAGTATTATTCCACAATTGCCAGTAATGCAAATGTATTTGCTGTTTACTCGTTCCTTACTGTTTAACTATGTAAATTGTTCTCATTTCAACTATTGCAAAAAAAACAACTACTAGAAAGCATTCATACCTTAGCGCCTGCTATTTGCAGAAAGCAAGAAAGAGAGAAAATATATAGTTTAAGGCGTAGGCGAGCGATATGGTAGAAATGATAGGAAAAAGGGAAACGTTTCTAATATCAAATGTAATTAAGATTAATAGCGGAAGTTGCAATAGAAATGGGCGCATATAAAGTCATTGTGTTTAGATTGTTTCATTTAACATTAAAGTTAAGTTCTTATAGTTCAACTGCTGTGCTTGTGTCTGACTCAAACATTGTGCTGTGCAGTAAGTAATGATTTATGTTCGCACAGTAAGTCGAGTCTTATAATTGTTGCAAATTTATATATACACTGAGTGTTCTATATTTTACATTTTTTGTCGCGACTTGATACTTTTCTCGGTTCTTGGATACTTTTTTGTTATTGCTATACAATGTACATAAAAGGAAGAGAAACAGGAGAAAAACACATAAAATCATGAAAAATGGCCAGCATTAAACTGCGTAAAGATTTTTTTTCAGTCACACAATTTAATTATTATGGAATTGCGACTTTTCATCATCTTCATCATCTCAGCAGACTCTAATAGTGTGGACAATCATGAGTATACATCCACAAGATTAGAAATGTCTATCAACATTTTGCACGAAAGATAGGCAAGTAGGTAATTTAAGATTATTTAAATTGCATGATTGTTACTTCAACAACAGCCAGCACACAATAAGATGAGAGTGTAGTATTATTAAGCGAAAAAGAATAAAAGAGAAAATTGAATTGGAATAAATGCCTTGACGTGACATTAAATTTAACACTTCATTATTTTTAAGACGATCTGTCTTGAGTTTTTCACTTTTCGTCATCTTCATTCATTCTGTCTTTGCTCTTTGCTTAACAATAGACGTTTTCTTTTCATCTTAATTCATTCCAATTATTATAATTCACAAGACGACTTATTTATGTGTAAATATCTCATTTCATATTTTAAATTCAATTCTACAAGGTTTAGACTCACCAAATCGTGTTCTTTGTAAAGCCAGCTTCTTATGGAATTGATATATAATCACTTTTGTTTTTTTAAATAACTTAATCAACACAAAAAAGACACAAAAACA